TCCATTTTGAAATCAAAAACTAGATTATGTTCATCACTTTCGTTCTAGGACCTGGTATACACTAGATGCTTGATGAATAAAATAGTAGACCTCTTTGAGAAATCATTTCATTACATTAATGGAAGTTTTAGTCATTCAGAAGCTCAAAGATGATTAGTATGAATGGACTTGCCTTAGATATCTTGAGGTCTTCAGGCTAGGTAGCTCACCATTATTTTTCTGTTTTATTCACTGTGTTCTGACAACATTCTAGACTTCACATTTCCCGCCCCAAAGACTGACAGTTAAATGGGAGAAGATGACAAGTGAATAATTACATTACAGAGTTGCTGTGAGAAAACTTGGGAGGGGAAACTAACTTAATTTTCAGGGGAATCCAGGAAAGAAGAATAGAAACTAGGTAGTGAAGCTTGGCCAGTTCCTAAAGGAGCCCATAAACCATATTAAGGAGTTTGGACTTTACACTGATTACTAGCAATGATTACTAAAGATTCTTATCTTTTATAGGTATGGTAGTTTTTATTGCTTACATTTTGTGAGCTGGATTTGTGCAGATAACGTTGTTTATAATAATAGTAGCTTTTCATTTCCTCTTTGATTTCTATCAAATATTTTTTAAAAATTATCTGCCAACCACAGGATTATCTGGCAGGTGACGTGGGGTTTAAATAACATTGTTTTAATTATGATGATTCTAGTAATAGATAAAAGAAATTTCTTTTGCAAGTCTTCTCTAAGCACCCGTGCTTGTTTATAACATATTCTTGAATAAGATCCTTGTCCTAGCTATCAAGTTGGCAATCTCTTGAATGGCAATGGGATATATTCCTGACTGGCAGACTTTCTGAATGCGCTCATTCACTTTGAGTCTGACGGTAGGACCTGTACTTGTTATGTATTTGGCACCACTTACATAGATCCTAAATTTTATATTATTGAATTTTCTCTATATACTTTTCCATGTTTCTGTAATATGCCACTCCACAATATACCACTTGGGAGAAGGATTATTTTGAGCTGAAGGAAATTAATAAGCAGCAAATGAAAAAAGAGCTTTTTCCTCCCACTGTCTGCCTAAAAGCAGGACGTACGTTTCCCTTTGGGAGGGTTTTCTCTGTCCCCTCTCCTCCATCAGCAGGAGGACAGCTCCTCACTGGAGACAGATAGTTGGCATCGAGATGGTCTGCACCAACTTTACTAAAATAACCTATCTTCCATTGTTTTCTTCCAGATAATTACTTCCCATGATTTACCTACCTTTTCCTCATCTTGTCACTTCTCCAGAATTAATCACCCTTTATTAAAATGCTGTATGAACCTTGGGTCTATCTACTACTTTGGGTCTCCACTAAATTGATTAAACTTTGGGGTAAATAAAATATTTTAGTGATTGCCTCATATGATTTTGTTATTTTATTTTCTAAAGTATTAGAATACTTTTTAAAAACTTACTATTACATTTTATCTTTAGTTAGAAATTATTTCAAACTTACAGAAAAGTTGCCAGAAGAGTGCAAAAAACTCTTGCTTATCTTTCTACCAGATTACTGTTAACCTTTTGCAGTGTTGCTTTCTCTGACCAATAGTTTTGGTTTTTTTTTTAAATTTTAAATGTTGCTACTTGTTCCAATAATGTCCTTCATAACAATTTTCATTCTGGTACAAGATCCCAAACAGGATCAGGCATTGCATTGCTTCATCTCTCTCTCTCTTTCTTTATTGTTCACAGTATTACAGATATCCCCGTATTGTCCCCCTTCACCTAGTCCTTGCCCTTCCCTAGTCTTCACTACACTTCCTTTTTTTTAAATGAAGACCTCTGAGACTTAAATTAAAATGTTAACATCAAATAAGATTTGTGTACCTTTTCTCCTTGTTAACCTTTGGTCAGCTTAATTCCCACATCCCGAGACAGAACCTTAAGAGGGTAGAGAAAAAGTTTTTCCCTCCCCTACTGCTCTATATTATTTCAGTGTTTATAATTTTTAATGGCTTGTATGCTCTGTGTTGCACTATGTAAGTATTGACTGCAACATTGATTTATTTCTCTCACCTCTAGTTTGCTCATCAGTGGTTTTGAGTCCTGGCTGGATGACAGAATGATCAGTGAGGCTTTTTAAAGGACCTGGATTTCTGGAGCCTACCCCAGATCAGACCCACGGAATCACACTGCCTGGCAGTGGGCCCTGAAAGCTAACATTTCAAAAACAGCGTCAAAACTTGAGGGAGGCAGAAGCGGTGGGATAAGGAATTTCTGAGGGTGGGGAATTTTCACGAAACTGACTTAGCAGGATATTTGCTAAAACAACCAAGGGGGCTAAGGACGAGCTCAAGAGCTAGGCCTAGTCAAACATCAGACTTAGAGGAACTAAGAAGAGAGTCTTTGTCAATAGCAGCAACTACTACAAAATACAGCAAAGGTGGTTCTAATGCATGCATCTGTAGTTGAGAATTGAAGCCTTATTTCCACAGAGGTTTGACATTTCATTTAAATCTTCTCTTGGTTTGATGGGTCTGTAAATGGGCAGCTTTTCCCCCAAAACCTTTTCTCCTTTAGGCTGTTCTGGAGAGTACCATGGAACCAAAAGGAGACAAAACAAAGACCAAATAATTCTTGTTTTGAAGCAAACACACTTAGATGCCTGGTGTGTTCCAGGCAGTGTTCTCATTAGTGAGGCTATGGTGGTGAATAAGGCAGACAAGGGCCCCTGCTCTTAGGGATGTCGTGGTCAAAGAGTAGAAAACAGTATACCAATAAGTGAACAATTTATTTCAGGTCTGATAAACACTGTAAGAAAAGAAGACTATAGCCGGGACCGGTTTGGCTCAATGGATAGAGCGTCGGCCTGGGGACTGAAAGGTCCCGGGTTCGATTCCGGTCAAGGGCATGTACCCTGGTTGTGGGCACATCCCCAATAGGGGGTGTGCAAGAGGCAGCTGATCGATGACTCTCTCTCATCGATGATTCTAACTCTCTGTCTCTCTTCCTTCCTCTCTGTACAAAATCAATAAAATATATTTTTTAAAAAAAAAAGAAAGAAAAGAAGACTATAATAGTGACTTAATAGAAGACCCTATTAAAGACAAAGGTTCCAATTGAAGAATTGTTGTCATAGGTTGTTTTTGGTCGTGCTCAAATTTGGGATTTAGCAATCCAAGCAGAGAAATAGCAAATCCAAAGGCCAAAGTCCGTGACAGGTTGAGAAACAGAAAGAAAGCAGGTAGGACAAGAACATTGTAGGTAAATGGGTTGAGGGGTGTGGATAGGAATCTCATGTGATTTCAAGGTTTTGGACTTTGCATAACTGGCTCAGTTACCCTTTTACTAGAATTTTTTTAAAAAAAATTTATTTGTTGATTATGGTATCACATATTTATCCTCATCCCCCCATTCCCACCCCAAACCCCTCCCCACATGTGCCCCTACCCCCCTGTTTGTGACCAATGGTTAGGCTTATATGCATGCATACAAGTCCTTTGGTTGATCTCTCCACCTTACCCCCACCCTCCCCTACGTCCCTCTGAGGTTTGACAGTCTGATGGATGCTTCCCTGTCTCCAGGTCTGTTTTTGTTCATCAGTTATGTTGTTCATTATTTCCTCTAGATGAGTGAGATCATGTGAAACTAGAAATACACTTATAAGAACTGAAACTGAGACAAGCCATAATGGTTATGCTGAGAGGCAAACGAATTAGTCTGTAATGAGTTTCTTTCTGAGCCAACAGTTCTTTTGAGTCCCAATTTCAATGTCAAACAGTTCCTTATGTGTACGCGTCAGCAATGATAGTTCTGGGCGGTGGACAAATGGTTGTAATGCAGGTCCGACCCTCTCTGGTTTGGTCCTGCGCAACCTGCAGTGACGCACAGCTGTACCAGCAAATTCTTAAGATGGGAAGGCTAAGGTGGTTGGAGGGAAGCAAGAGATGCACATTAGGCATTAAGCTTCTGGATCTGGGAGAGGTTGCTGTCTCTCTCCCTCTTCCCATGGCTTTCCATATGTCGGCTTCAGGGTAGCCAGATTTTTTGCATGCTTGCATGTTGCTCAAAGTGCTCCCAAAGGAGTCATCCTAAGGAAGCCTGGAGAACCTGCATGGACTTTTCTAAGAGAGCCTGGGTGTCCTAGACTCCACATCTTCATGGGAGGTGTGTCAAAGAATTGGCAGCAGTGTTTTAAAACCATCACATAGCAGAATCCCTTATATTGTTATCTTTCAATATCAGTAATCATTTCCTTTTAAAAACAATAGTGAATAGTACCTTGTCTTTGGGATTATTAATGCTATAGTACTTTTTCTGTTTTATATAGTTAAAATGGTTTCCTTAAATTTAACCGTTTGTTGACACTGTGTAGTGGTTCTAAAAGACTTTACTAGGACCTTCTTCCTTACACTGTCAATTGGTTGAATCCTGTAACACTTCATCAAATGCAATACAATATTAAAGACAGTGGAGCATTTTAAAAATGTGAATTGTTTATAGAGTTCTGAAGCCCTGTCTTTAGAAGAGGTTTCCAGTTCTGGTTCTCATTTGTTTGCTAGAATGAGTTCTAAATCTGTTGGATAGTAAAATAAAAAAAATTTTCAGTAGCTAAAATCTAAGGAAGTTTTTAAAGATTTATAACTTGTGTATTACTTTTGTATTTTGGAAATAGCAATTTTTTTTTCTTTAAGTGACCTGGAATTTTATTTCTTTTCATTGGATTCTATTGATAAGGAAATATAGGATTGTATTATTTTATATATGAGTGATTTTAATAATTTAAAATGTTTCTCAACCCTATGTGTTATTCACATTGGAAATATTTAGGAAAAAACCTATATATGCCCAGGTCCTACTATCAGAGATTCTGATCAGTTGATTTGGGGTGGGGTCCGGGTATAGGTCTTTTTTATAGCTCCTCAGGATATTCTATTATGAAGCCACATTTGAAAGCCACATTCAAATTGTGGCGTTTGCTGATGCTGATTTTTGATCTTTGTAACAGGGAAAAAATAAAAAAATGGAAGGCCTGCCAGATGCTGCTGCTTTTGCAACTAAACTTAAAAATACTCTCATCCAGTACCATAGCATTGAAGAGGATAAATGGCGTGTTGCAAAGAAAACGGTAAATTAGTTTAATTGGGGTATATCTTGTCTAATGAATTGGTTAATATCTTTCAGAATAGTATGGGAAAATGTGGACCATACTGCAAATGGCTGTGCAGGATAATTTTCCTAATAAAGTGGGTGGTTTAGCAGCTCATAAAGGAATAAACATAGTAATCCTGTACCGCTTTCAGTAGTTCTTTAGATATTGGACATGAGAATAGACTTGGGCAACAAGAGCCTAAAGAATGGCCTCTTAAGTCAACAAATAGAGTGTGTCATTGTCAATTTAAGGAAGTATAGTAATTGGTAGTTTGGAATAGTTTCAGATATTTCAACAAGCTTGTGAGAGTGACCAGTTAGTATTTTTAGCAACAGGACGTGCCCAAATTATCTTATGGCTGAGTGTTGACAGAGCCAATCCTAGAATCCAGGACTCTTCCAGTTAAGTGCTTTAGCTAATCTGATATGCAGAATTTCTTGGGTAATTATCAGAAAAAGATGTAGGGATTAATTCAAGGTAGCACTGTCAGAACATATGTGAAATGTTTAATATTTTAAAAGATGTGAGCAAGTTCAAAATGAAATATTTAGGGTTCTTAATGTCTTATTCTAAATGTACCAGTAGACAAATTGGAATAAGGAAAATAATAAATGGCCAGGGAGATAGTGCCATCACTGAATCTTCACAGTATTTGGGTCATATTAAGCTACTGAAAAATTTTTCTTAGAGGTCTGATTTAAATAAAATGTGAGGATTTTAGGATAGAGAAGAAATTCAAATGTGCATCATTTGATGGTATAAATAACTTTAAGTATCTCCAAATACTTACTTAAGTTTTAAAGCAAAGACCAATACTCTAGACTTATGAAATTGTCAGTTTTATATCCAAGGTTTCACTTATATTATTTTTTTTCTAGAGAGGTGTCACAATTTGGAGAAAACCTTCAGAAGAATTTAATGGATATCTGTGAGTAAATTCTAGTGGTTTTATGTAGCTCTTAAGACGTTGCTAAATGTTTTATACATACATACACACAGAAACATTGATTACTATTATTGCCAGTATAATTAGGCCTCTCCTTTTAAGATTTAAACTTTCTGAGAAGCAAGTTACGTCATGAAGTCAAAGCCTATTTCCATAACCCTTCTGGACTGAGTTGATAGTGAAGGGATCATAAATAATGATGTAAAATGACTGATATGATCTTAATTTCTTAGCATCCTATATAATAAAAGATTAATATGCAAATTGAATGAACGGCGTAATGACCAGTTGCTATGTCACACACTGACCACTGGGGGCAGATGCTCAATGCAAGAGCATCCCCCTGCTGGTCAGTGCACTCCCACGGGGAGCACTGCTCAGGCAGAAGTCCAGAAGCTGTGCTCATGGCTGGTGAGTGCAGCCCAGCGGTGACAGGTACCTCTCCTGCCTTTGCAGGAGCACTAAGGGGAGCGAGCCTAAGCCATTAATTGGACATCCCCCGAGGGCTCCCGGAATGCCATAGGGTGCAGGCCAGGCTGAGGGACCCCTAGAGTGCATGAATTTTTGTGCACTGGGCCTCTAGTCTCCCTCTCCACACGCACACACTTAAAAGCCTAATATGCTAAGCGTTAGGCCAGTCGCTATGATGTGCACTGACCGCCAGGGGGGAGACACTTCAACCAGTAGGTTAGCTTGCTGCTGCAGTCTGGCCAATTGGGACTGTGCGAAATGGGCCGGACATGCCCTGGAACTCTCTTGCGGTCCCTCCTCAGCCCCGATTGTGCATCGGTGGGGTCATTCGGCCTGGCCTGGGCCCTCTCACAATCCAGGACCCCTCGGGGGATATCGGAGAGCTGGTTTCGGCCCAATCTCCGGAGGCCTGGCAGAGGGACCCCACCGGTGTATGAATCTGCACTGGGCCTCTAGTTATATATAAGATTCTTCTAATACTCTTCTACATTTACTCAGTGCTATAGCATACTTTATGCTAGGAATTTATCTTGGAGAAATCATCAGACAGACAATAGTTAAGTTCCTATCTCTTCCATCACAGCATTGCCTATATATTAAAAATTAAAAACAACTTGAATAATCAACAGTTGATGAATGATTAAATTATGGAACATGTGACATTTTACATTAAAATTTTTTTTTTCAAATATTATTTAAAAACATAAAAAAATGCTCACCATATAATCGAAGGTGAATATTCAACTGTATATAACACATTTGTGAGTTGACTTTTTATATTTTTATATATTGAAATGTTTTTATTAAACACCAAATGTAGACCTCTAGATGGTGATTTTGTGGGTGGTTTTATTTCCATTTTTTATTTGCAGGTAGTTGAACATGAATTATCCCTTTAACCAGAAAAAAATAATTGCTTTTTAAAACTAGTGGGGACAATTGCTTTGTGTAATTATAGTTGAACTAGAGGCCTGGTGCATAGATTTGTGCTTCAGTGGGATCCCTCCGCCTGGCCTGCGGGGATTGAGCCCAAACCAGCTCTCTTACATCCCCTGAGGGGTCCCAGATTGTGAAAGGGCTCAGGTCAGGTCGAGGGACCCCACCAGTGCACAATCGGGGCCAAGGAGGAACCATGGGAGGCCTGCAGGGCGTATCTTGCCCAGTCCCATTTGGCTGGACCCCGACAGCAAGCTAACCTACAGGTTGCAGCGTCTGCCCCCTGGTGGTCAGTGCGCATCATAACAACTGGTTGAATGGTTGAAGGGTCACTTACCATATTCTGCTTTTATTATATAGGATCTTCACATCCTTGGGACTCAGCCCTTTCTAAAATGAAACTGGGCTTTGGCCCCACTTACTATATACAGAATGTTTTGTATTTTACTTCAAGATGATGAGTCATACAATATTTATGATGACTGAGAAACTGGGGGTGGATTAAACATTGTAGGCAAGGGTGAAAAATTAATCCTTTAGATCAATAATTCCCAGAGGGGGTTGAAAAGAGTATGTAGCATTATGCTTGGTGGTTTGAAAGGACTTAATACAGGAACTAATCTGTGATCTGAGTCTAAAAGGAATAATTGGTATTTCTTAGAGAATGGAAGACTGATTCATATTCCAGGCAGAAGGAATTGCATCTTCTACATACACACAAATGGGAAACTCTTCAAGTTAGTTTAGAGAAGTAGAAATTGTGTTTGTATAGCTGGAACATAAAGTATGAGGGTGGGGAGAACAATATATGTGCAGGAACTTTGAATGCTAAACTAAGGGATTCAGTATGGCACAATCCCCCCACCTCCCCGGCCCTCAAAGGATTTTAAATTTACTCTGATAATAGCGTTAAGTAAAATAAGAAGAAAAAAAAAATAGTGTTAAGTAGCATTGTAAAATGAGAGCAATAAGAGTTCAGAGAAGAGGTTTTACCCTTGGAGTCCATGACTTGCTTCTTGAAGCTCCCTAAGATTGTATACAAAGTTTTGTATTGGTGTGTATATTCCTGGGAAGACATTTGTGGCTTTTTCACTGGTGGAATGTTGAGTTGGACACAGTGCATAAACTAAAGACAAAGCACAGGAGTTGAAAAGGGCAAATGAACATGAAAGAGATTTAGTGATGGTGATGGTAGATGATGATGATAGTGATGACAACATTTGAGAACCAGATATTGTTCTAAGCACTTTACATATAGGAAATCATCTTGTTAAAGCATGGTGACTTCTTAATTCTGGCTGTTGGAATAGGGGTAAGAGAAAAAGAAGAATCAAAATTGAATCCCAGATTTCTAATTTGGATGACTGGATTATTTTTTATTATCCCCACTAGAGGCCCCGTGCACTAAATTTGTGCACAGGGAGGCGAGGGGTGGAGGGTGAGTGTCCCTCAGCCCAGCCTGTACCCTCTCCAATATGGGCATCCCTTTCACAATCCAGCACTGCCTGCTTGTCTGTCTGTCTGATTACCCTTAACTGCTAATACCTGCCAGCCTGATCACCCCCTAACTACTCCTCTGCCAGTTTGGTCACCCTTAACTGTCCTCCTCTGCAGGCCTGATCACCCCCAAGTGCCCTCCCCTGCTGGCCTGGTCACCCCAAACTGCCCTTCCCTGCTGGCCTGGTCTCCCCTAACAATCCTCTCCTGCAGGCCTGGTCACCCCTAACTGTCCTCCCCTGTAGACTTGGTTCCCCCCAACTGTACTCCCTTTCAAGCCTGATCCTTCCCAACTGCTCTCCCCTGCTGGCCTGATTGCCCACTATGGTCCCGCACTCCCCTAATGACCATCTTGTGATGGCCATCTTGTGTCCACATAGGAGCAGTTATCTTGTGTATTGTAGTGATGGTCAATTTGCATATTACCTCTGTTATATAGGATTCCCCATCCTCTACCCCAAATTAGAGAACACAGGAGGCAAGAGCAGATTTAGGATGGGAGAGATCATATAAGTTAGAACTTGAAATTTGCAAAATGATAAAATAGCTTCAGATGTTTTAAAGAAAACAAAAAAGACACCCCCCCCCCAAAAAAAAAAAAAATTGTTGCTTGATAGAGTTAAAGCCAGTCTGTCTCTCATTTCTTCTCTTCACTTTTCTTTCCTCCCAGAGGTAATTGCTACCTCGGTAAAAGCTCTCTGTACTATTTCTGTTTGATATTTTGACTATATCTGTGTATGTGCTTCCTTTAGTAACTTGCTCCGTATTTCATTTTCAGGATTTAGTCATGTGGTCTATTCTTTCACTTTCCTATATATATATACCACAATGTGTTTATCTGTTTGCAGATTTCCTACTTATAACTGTCCTAGAGGCCTGGTGCACGAATCCATGGGTTCCCTCACCCTGGCCTGCGTCCTCTCACAATCCGGGACCCCTCAGGGGATATTGGACTGCCAGTTTCGGCCCAATCCCTGCAGGAAATTGGGCTGAAACTGGCAGTCCAACATCCCTTG